GCCCATAGAATTCTTCAGTTTTGCAACTAAAGGCTTGAATTCTTTCTTCAGTTCTTTCAGTTTGAGAAATGCTGAGTGTGTTCTTCCTTTTTGGTTTTCTAACCCCAGGTCTTTGCACATTTCATTATAATACTTTACTTAATGACTTTTGCTTTCCTCATATATGATGTTCTTGATGTCATTCCACAACTCGTCTGGTCTTCAGTCAGTCATTACTGTTCAGTGTGTCAAATCTGTTCTTGAGATGGTCTCTAAATTCAGGTAGGATATACTTAAGGGTGGATGTGGGCTCTCGTGGACTTTTTTAAATTTTCTTCGGCCTCAACTTGAACTTGCACGTGAGCAATCGATGATCATTTCCAAAGTTGGCCTGCCTTGTTCTGACTGATGATATTGAGATTTTCCATCATCTCTTTCTACAGATGTTGTCCATCTTATCCCTGTGTATTCCTTATGGCAACGTCCAGGTGTATAGTCACTGTTTATGTTGTTGAAAACAGGCATTTGTGATGAAAAAGTCGTTGGTCTTGCAAAATTCTATCATGCAATCTCCGGTGTCATTTCTATCACCAAAACCATATTTTCCAACTACTGATCCTTCTTCTTTGTTTCCAACTTTAGAATTCCAATCACCAGTAATTATCAATGCATCTTGATTGCATGGTTGGTCACTTTCAGACTGCAGAAGTTGGTAAAAATCTTTAATTTCTTCACCTTTGGGCTTAGTGGTTGGTGCATAAATTTGAATAATAGTCATATTAACTGTTCTTCCTTGTAGGCATATGAATATTATCCTGTCACTGACAGAGTTGTACTTCAAGATAGATCTTGAAAAATTCTTTTTGACAGTGAATGCGACACCATTCCTGTTCAATTTGTCATTCCAGACATAGTTGACCATATGATTGTCCGATTGAAAATGGCCAATACCAGTCCATTTCAGCTCACTAATGCCTAGGATATGGATGTTTATGCATTCCATTTCATTTTTGACTACTTCCAATTTTCTTAGATTCATACTTAGTACATTCCATGTTCTGATTACTAATGGATGTTTGCAGCTGTTTCTTCTCATTTTGAGTCATGCCACATCAGCAAATGAAGGTTCCGATGGTCAGTGGGAGGGTGTAGCAAGGCTTGGGAGTAGGGGTGTATGTGACCTGTAAGGAGAGGGTTGGGGGCTAGGCCACATCACAGAGGGCCCTAAATGCTCAAAGATGAGGAGAACTCAGAGGCCAGTGCCTGCCCAGTTCAGAACAGGGCCTGAGGCTTCTTCCCCTTAGCTCTGCCAAACTAGCCAAGAAACTGCATTGGGTAGAAGCTTGCCATGAACGAGCTGAAGATGGCTGAGGCCTTGATCTTGCTCTGGTTTGAGCTGTCACTGGACTCCACCAGGGTTCCCATCCCTGCTCCAGGAATTGAGTTGAAGTACAGGAATGAGATCCACCTATACCTGAAGAAGCTCCTTTAACACCGGTGGGGACAATGGCAAGCTCATCCCATGTATTTCCCTCAGACAACCTCCTGCCTTCCATCTTGTCTTTCTGTCCCTCTGCCCCTGTCCCCTGCCTGTCTGCCCACCTTCCAGCTTCCTATCTGCCTACCTGCCTGACCTCACACCTCTGGTTCATCAGCCTATCTTCCCTCTTCTCTCTCCACCATTCTCTAGGTTCCCTCCCTGTTTCTCTGACTATGTCTCCCCCACTACTGCCATCTCTAACTGTCCACCTAATTCCTGATCACCTGCTTGCCCTCCAGTCTTTCTGCCCATGTTCAAGCCTTTCTTCCTCTGACAGCTTCTCTGTCCGTGTGTGTGCTTTCTGTTGCTGCTATAACAATTTACTGCAAACTTAGTGGCTTAAAACAACACAAATGTATTCTCTTACAGTTCTTGTGGTCAGTCTGAAACGAGTTTCACCAGACATAAACCATGGTGGTGCCAGGCCAGTCTTCCTCCAGAGGATGTAAGGGGAACACTTTCCTTGACTTTTCCACCTTCTAGAGCTGCTGTCCTCACATCCGTCACTCATGGCTCCTTCCTTCATCTTCAAAGCCAGCAGCATTTTCAAATCTCTCTGCTTCAATCTTTATATCCTCCTCTCCTTAAAAGATGCTGTGATTACTTGGTCCCACTCAGATAATCCAGGATAATCTCCCCATATCAAGATCCTTAATGTAATCACAACTGAGAAGTCCTTTTTGCCATATAACATATTCACCATTTTGGAAGATGTGGGTGTAGACATTTTGGGGCCGTTATTCAGCCTGCCACAGTCCCCATACAGCTGTCATCTGGTTTATTACACCTGAAAGTCACCTTTCTACTCATTTGTCATTCACACAACCCTCTGCTTCTCTTCCACCCTGTAACCCAACCTTAACAACAATAAAGTTCACAGTGCTTCAGATAGTGTCTGTTCTACTTTTCATGGAGGTAAATGGCAGGGAAGGGGGCTGGGGAGGGACAATAGACGAGAGAAATTCTTTCTGAGGAAGGAGAGGCAGTTAAACTCTGCTCTGTGATTCCCAGGACTCTGTGTGCTCCCTCAAGCTGACCCCAGCCCAGCCTAATGCATCCTGACACCCACACCCTGCCCAGCTCTGAAGGCTCCCATATTAGCTGGGTTTAGAGACAGGGCTCCTTTCTCAGGAGTGCTGGGGGAGGGCTCACACTGTCAGGGGTACAAAGTTTCTCACACTAGATTTTAAGAGCAGGAACCATCTAGAGTTCATCTTGCCCTGAGCAGGAGACCTTACAGTGCTCGTGGGGTATGAGGGCCTTAAGGACCCAGCCCTTCATGGAGAGAAATGTTTGAAAAGCCTGTGATGTCACCAGGCACCTGTCAGCACTTCTCAGCACAGAAAGGTCTACAGGCTCCTCAGGAGGCTCAAGGAGTTGGTGGCTGCTTAGCAGGGACCTGCCCAGCTGGGCAAATATAACACCATTTTCAATGGGCAAACCTAAACATCATTTTCAATGACTTCGTGATTCCTAGCCATATGGTTTCACCTACACTTTCTAACAAAAGTTGTCCTGGATACTGAATCTTGCGTTTATTCCAATACATGAGGTTGATAATCTAAAACATCCACCTGCTACAAAACACTTGGAAACCCTGGGTAAAACATAGAAAATATGAAATGCCCCCTGGAAAGCTTGGGGGCTGCCTTGTATGGACTAGAGACCTAGCCACATCCTCATCTCCTTTATCATAACGGTTAGCAGCAAAGTCTCTGGAGCTGACTGCTTGGGTTTGAATTCTGGCTTCACCACTTACCAGCTTGGTGATTCTGTGGAAGCAGCTAATCTGTTTGTAACTTTGTTTTCTCATCAATAGCATGCAATTTTTTAAAGTTTATTTTGTAGCAACAACATATAAAGTGCTTCGCCTAGATCCTAGAATATAGTAAAGGGTCATTAAACTTTAGATATTACCAAGCATTTTGAGTCCAATTACAAAGAAGAAACAGAGGCCTCAACAAGGGAAAGAAGGTGTCACAACAAAATCCCATGACTCTCTAAATCCAAAGTTCCTTCTACTACTACCTCTAGTGCTGTGGGTTAAACAGCAGATGCTGAGCCAAGTAAGAGAATGAGTCAGGTTTTAAAGTCCCTCTGGGGCACTGAGGGTGGGTAGTAGGGACGTGAAATAACCACAGAGCTGGAGGGAGGTTGGGGATCAGAAGTGGGACAGAGGCCTGGAAGAATGGTAGGCAAGTCACCATGGATTATGTAAGTAATTACATACCCTGCTGCCCTTGGATTTGGACAGCTGCCCAGGATTTACAGGCAAAAGAAAAGAACTTTGGCCCCATGAGTTGTGCAATGAATTACCAGATACCAGAGAGGCCAAGCAGGAGGATGTTAGATGTAAGCATGTAGAGGTATGAGAGACAGGTAAGGAGGAAATTAGGCCCCTTGGAGAACAGCCTTCCAAGGAATTCTTCTTGAAATGTTTTTCATGTTTTAATTTCTGAATTCTGAGCCTTGGATATGACTATGAGGGAGACAATCATTAAAAAAGAGAGGGAGGAAGTATTGAAGATTAACGTGTCCCTATACTTTGGTCTTTCTCATACGAGCGCCACAGCTTTGCTGATGCCATCTTTCTTTCTAACACTCTCCACTTGGAGAACTCCTACTCATCCTTCAAGCTGCATTCTTTTGTTTGCTTTTCTCTCTCCCTGAGTGGCCCCAAACTGCTGATCATTTCTCCAATACAGCTCTTACCATATTTTAGGGTACTTATTTATTTTTCTGCCTAACCCACTAGACTGTGAGCTCAAGAAATATCTGTGGAGTGAATGAATGAATGAGTAATCCTATGTAGGATTTCCCAGGCTACAAAGGAAGAAAGTAAGTCTCAGAGAATTTAAGATGCTGACTTCATAAGCAGTGAATGTGGACCTGGGCCATGGGCCTCCTGAGTCCAAGTCCAGTGCTCTGTCCATCCAGCAGTCACTTCAGGTCAAGACTGACTAGTGGACTGTGACAAGCCTGGGGAACATTTCAGAGGCAACTGGTGTGGGCAGGTTTGGAGTAGAACAGAGACAGTTCTAATCCCAACTCAGATTCTCAGTAGCTGTTTCACTCTGGCAATATCAGTTGATCTCACTGACTCTCAGTTTCTAAGCTTTAAAATCGTGGTAATAATAATCCAGCTTCTCTACTGAAGCTTTGATAAACTAGACTGTGAATCTTTGAAGTTAGGGGTTATGACTGTTTTGCTCGCAGCCTTGTCCTAGCAAGTAGCATGCTGCTGACACATAGTAAGTACTCATTAAGTATTTGTTGAGGAAACTAAGGAGGAAAAGTGGGTGTGTACACGTGTATCACAGTGATCTGATAATGCTTTTTTCCCACTGTTCGTCAATCCTAGTGATCAAGCTCTGCCATCATTCTTCCCCCTCCCACCAGGTGGGAGGGACAACCCTTCCTGTACTTGGGCAGGGGTGTTCAAGGACAGTCAGACAGTCAGTGATCCACCAGCAGCTGCACCATGAGTGTCTCTGTGCTGAGCCCCACTGGACCACTGGGGAGTGTGTCTGGGCTCCTCCAAGTGGTCACCCTGCTCAGCCTGGTTCTGCTGCTGCTCAAGGCAGCCCAGCTCTACCTGCGCAGGCAGTGGCTACTCAAGGCCCTGAAGGATTTCCCGTCACCTCCCTCCCACTGGCTGTTTGGGCACAAGCATGAGGTAGGAACTAGAGGGTGAGGGCAATGGGACAGCAGGGAGGGCCTGGGCTGAGAGCATGGTCAACAAGTCATTGAACAAAGCCTTGTTGTGTGAACCCACTCTTGCCTCTACAGGTAAACCCAGCTCACCTCTCAGGTGCCTACTCCTCACTCCCAGCAACAGGGAGCTCACTACCTCACGAGAAGCCTGTCCTCGCCTTGCTTAACTCTCTCAGATACTCCTTCTTGTGCAGACCTGAATTCCGTCCTGAGCACTCTGTAGAGCTGGAGGACAATGGTTGGTCCTTCCTGAGTCTCCTCCTCTCCAGGCTGAGCAACACCAACAGCATCAGATGTTCTTAAAGAACAAGGCTTCTAGATGCTTCTGCACCCCAGTTTACTCAATCGCATGTCTCAGTTACCTAGTGCTGCTATAACAAAAAATAACACAAGTGGGTGCCTTTTAAGAGCGGGAATTTATTGTATCACTGTTTTCGAGGTTAGGATTCTGAATTCAGGGCATTGGCAGGTCTAGGCTCTGTGTGTGTGTGTGTGTGTGTGTTGTGGGGAGGGCTCTAGGGGAAGAGTCTTGTCTCTTTCAGCTACTGTAGCTCCTGGTGTTTCTTGGGGTTCCTTGGCTGCGTATAGATGTATCATTACCTGGCATCAGTCTGCCCCTCCGACATCCCCCACCCCATGTGTGTCTCTCTTTTTTGTTTTTATAAGACACTCAGAAAGAATTCAGTTTAGGACTCACATTACTCTTGTAAAGACTCCCTGGGTAACACAAACAGTTAAGCACTTGACTATTAACTGAAAGGTTGGTGGTTTAAATCTACCCAGAGGTGCCTTGGAAGAAAGGCCTGGCCATCTGGTTCCAAAGGCCACAGCCATGAAAACCCTATCAAGTCCTGGAGCTATGGAGACTGCATGAAACCCTGAAACTACTACCCTGAGATAAACTTTAAAACTTAAACCAAAAGTATCCCCTGAAGTCATCTTAAAGCGAAACAATAGTTTAGCCTAACTAGTAAAAAAGGTCTGCCCTGAGCATTATGCTCTTTTAGGAACTGGCTATATGGGATCATATTGACAACAGCAACTCAAAAGAGTAAATAGGAACATAAGGGGACAGTGAGTTTATGTTAATGTGGAAGGAACAACTCAGGAAAAGAGGGTGAGAATGACTGCACAACTTGAAGAACGTAATCAATGTCACATAATTGTACATGTAGAAACTGTTGAATTAGAGTATGTTTTGCTGTGTGTATTCTCAACAACAACCAAAAAAACCCCCTATGGAGCCCAATTCCACTGGTACTCTTCTATGGTTCCATTAGCATAACAAAAGAAAAACCCTATACCCAATAAAGATCATATTCAGTGGTACTGGGACTAGGACTTTAACAGCTTTTGGGAGGAGACAATTCAATCCATGACACCATCCTCCCTGCCTGGCTCTGAACTCTCTCGAAAACACAAAAATGAGTCTGATGAAAACCCTGCCCTCAGGGGTTCACAGTCTGTGGAGGAGGCAGACAGGAAATCTAAGAAGTTGTCCGGGCAGAGGAAGAGGCTCACTCTGCTGGGATGGGGTGGAGGTGATGTCAGGAGTAAGGGATTAACTGTCTTGGTTTGCCCAGGGCTGAGGGATTTTCTGGTCCATGGGACTTTCAGTGCTAATACCAGGACAATCCTAGGCAAATTTGAGGGGAAAAGGGCTCCAGGGTGGCACCCATGTGACAGGGCTATTGACTTTTGAGTTGCACTATTAAACAGTGTATTTACCAGCCTGCTCTCCTCCCCTATCCCATGGTTCTGGGCTGTGAGCACTTTGGGGTCTAGCATATCACATGTCTTCATTTACCCCAGTGCTCATGCCCCAGCACATAGGGGATGTTCAGCCAAGGTGTGTGGAGTAACAGAAGGAAAGAAGGATGGGAACAGTTTCCAGGTTGAGGAAGAAAGACTCTCTCCATCCAGACTGACAGCCCTGAGCCCTGACGATGAAGGGCACTCAGCAAGGCAAGGGGACCCGATTGGAGAGGAGCTCACCAAGGGCTTGTAGATACACCAAACATTAGGAGGATGTTGCAGAGAGTTGAGGCATCTCTTTTCTCCAAGAAGTAGACAACAGGATTATCAGCAGAGTGGGACCAACTAAAGGAACTACTCAATTTAACAACAGGGAAAGAGCCAAAGCCCAGTTTTTTCATGCAAAGTGTGGCACTAATGATGATGACCAGATCATTTGATGATTTCTGGAAATGGTAGCCTTTTTTTTTTTAAAGAAGTTGTCACTAGCTGCCATTGGTTCCCTTTGGGGACCGCAGGATGATGATCCATGTTCTGTCTGCCCATTCATCGCTCTGGGCCATTCTAGTGCCCACTGGCATGCTAGCCCCTTTGCTCCTGTCCCTGAGCAGATTGGGCCGAATCAGACTAGGCTGCCCCTTTCTGAGCGATGATACATAACCAACTACTAATAACCCTTCCCATTATACTGCTGGCCTTTAGAAGGTTTATATACTCAATAATTGGGTAATTTCTAGTAACAGAAATAATATGATGTTGAATTATCTCTCAGCTTTTGCTGGCCTAATAACAATTATGTACGGAAAAAAAATAGCTCTTATAATACTGTCTGAGAGCAAAGTGGGAGACCTCACACTACCTGATTTTAGAACCTATTATACTGCCACAGTAGTCAAAACAGCCTGGTACGGGTACAACAGATACATAGACCAATGGAACAGAACTGTGAATCCAGACGTAAATTCATCCACCTATGAGCAGCTGATATTTGACACAGGCCCAAAGTCCACTAACTGGGGAAAAGACAGTCTCTTTAACAAATAGTGTTTGCGTAACTGGATATCCATCTGCAAAAAAACTGAAACAAGACCCATACCTCACACCATGCACAAAAACTAACTCAAAATGGATCAAAGAGCTAAATATAAAACCAAAAACGATAAAGATCATGGAAGAAAAAATAGGTACAATGCTAGGAGCCCTAATACATGGCATAAACACAATGCGAATTGTAAGTAACAATGCACAAGCACCAGAAGAGAGACTAGATAACTGGGAGCTCCTAAAAATCAAACACTTATGCTCATTAAAACACTTCACCAAGGATGTAGAGCATAATTCTAACTCACAAAAAAAAAGATCCGATTTACAGGCCTCAAGGAGACTGGAGAAACCTCGAGAGTATGGCCCCCAGACACCCTTTTAGCTCAGTGGTGAAGTTACCTCTCACTGTTCAGCCTGGGAGTGGACAGCTCTGTAAAACCAAATGAGACTAACGAGGTACAGGAGTCCAGTGACAAGGCCCAGAAGGCAGAAGGGGACAAGGAAGCTGGTGATAGGGAACACAAGGTTAAGTAAGGATATTGTTGATGTGTTGTGAGATTGTTAACCATTGTCATAGGGCAACATTTGTAGTAACTGTTAAATGAGAAACTATTTTGTTCTGTAAGCCTTCATCTTAAGTGAGAATAACAGCACAATTGGAAGAGCATAGTCAGTGTCACTGAACTGTGTACGTGGAAATTTTTGAAACGGTGTATCTTTGGCTATGTGTATTTTCACCAAAAAAAAAAGGTTGAGAAGTTAGAGGGTTAATATGTTGTGGGTCTGTGAACCCATGTCATAAAACAACATGTGTACTACTGTTTCATGAGAAACTATTTGTTCTGTAAGCCTTCACCTGAAGTACAATAAAATATAAAAAAAGAAGAAGAAGAAAAAAAAAGACTTCACCAAAAGAGTCAAAGGACAAACTACAGGCTGGGGAAAAAAATTTGGCTACGACAAAACCGATCGGCATCTAATCTCTAAAATCTACAAGATACTGCAAAACCTCAACAACAAAAAGACAAATAACCCAATTAAAAAGGGCAAAGGATATGAACAGGCACTTCGCCAGAGAAGACATTCAGGCTGCTAACAGATATATGAAGAAATGCTCACGATCATTAGCCATTAGAAAATGCAAATCAAAACTACAGTGAGATACCATCTCACCCCAACAAGGCTAGCATTAACCCAAAAAACACAGAATAATAAATGCTGGAGAGGTTGTGGAGAGACTGGAACACTTACACACTGTTGGTGGGAATGTAAAATGGTACAACCACTTTGGAAAACTGTTTGGCACTTCCTTAAAAAGCCAGAAATAGAGGGACTTCCAGGCAACATGGCGCTCTAGCATGAAAGGCTGTGAAACTCCGCTTGAATGTGAAACTCCTTCCCAGTCCGTGCTGCCATGCTAGTGGGATCCTGGGGGTTTTTTTGTTTGTTTGTTTTGAATTGGTTGTTTGTTTTCTTTTTCTTTTCTAGAATTGGGAGCCCGTTCTAGCTGGGCAGTACTGCGCGGCTTGGGACCTACCCCCTCAGTTTGTGCAGACGTGCAGAGGAATCCCTGAGGGCATTTCTTTTTTCCTATTTTTTTTGAGGGGTTGTCTTGTTCTTTTTTTTAAATCTGTTTTGTTTTCTTCTCCCTCTTTTTCCCTTTTTGTCTTTCTTCATTACTCAGTTTCTCATTTCTCTATACCTTCCTTCTCTTCGTGTCCCCTGAATACCTGACACCGAGCGACACTTCTACATCTTATAGCCAGGCTGTATTTCAACGCCTGGGAGCAACTTCCCCAGACCTCATAACCACACCAGTGGGATCCCTGGTAGTTTTTCCTTCCCTTTTTCTTTCTAATTTTTATTCATTCATTTTTTTCTTTTCTTTTCTTTTTTTCCTTCTTATTCTCCTTTTTGTTCTTCTCCATTTCATAGTCTCTCATCTCTCTACTTCAACAGCAAGCTCCCCTAGCACTCTATTTTGTTTGTTTTTAAGTTTTTCGCTCCTGTTCCTCTCTCCTCTCTCTCCTCTCTCTCATACCCATCTTAGCTCCACACATCACAATCTCCCCTCTCCATCCTGTCTTCCTGCACTGTGTGCTTAACATCACACCACTAAGCAGCCCAGGCTCAGCCTACTGGAACCTGCCCTGCACTGATTAC